TCTATCTATCTATCTATTATTATTACATCATTGATTATCATTACAGATGCAATAGATGAGACTTATTGATCCCCACAGGACAGGGGATATTCACAAGCTGCAGCAGAAGCAGTCTGTAGAGGCAAGCTACGTTTTACTGTTGTAGTTAATCGACATAGAGCTGATTTTATTTCATATACTGTGGGACGTTTAGTCTAAACCAGATCAATACATTTTAAAGGCTGAAGACATGTTCTGTAAATAAAGTTTTAATCTGCAAATGAAAAGTAAATTAGTAAGAGTAAAAAGCACAATACAGTTCCCTCTGAAATGTAGTGGAGCAGAAATATAATGTTGTCCATTAAATAGAAAACCTCAGGTAAAGTACAAGCAGGGCCTACTTCAAATCTCTACCATAGTATAGCACTTGAGAAGAAGTACTTTATTCTGTACTGCATAACAGGATACATCTAATGAGCAGACTACACTGCATCTTTGAATTGAATGATCCCAGTTCTATGGTTGTCCACCAGGTGTCGTACAAGATTGACGTAAAGAAACAGATCTGACCATTACGTGAAAGCTGAATCACAGTAACCTAATATTCCTCTTCAGCTACAATATTATGGTGACTTGGGTCATGTTCACCATATTTCATATATGCCTGCAGCCCACTGATGTTCATGCATGTGAGTTATTAAAGCTTCCTAATTAAAATGGGGGGAATGAGGACATATTTCTTCTTATCCAGCCTGCTGATCTTTATCTGTTTATTGATTACATCTCTGCAATGTGGCCACAATTAACAGCTTAGTAATGAGTTGATGGAGTTCTGCACATTGTGTGGAGTCAGGGAGGGTCTCCGTACCTGGAAGTAAGGGGTCTTATACATCACAGTGTTGGGACATGATGATAGGACTGCTGTTCGCTGAGTTTTCAGCAGCCCGCAGAAAAAGTCTACAGTTGAGACGCGCATCCAATGAGCGCATCCAAAGACAACCCCCCTCCAAAAGAGAGATTGAGTTTCCATATTTTTACACATGACGAAAATGCATAAAGTCCACAGAAGGCAGCAGTCGACTCAGCACACACACAGGTGGAGAATGGGAATGGGTCATGACCAGGAGGAGTTTGCACTGAGAGGACTTGTACGACCTGCATTGTTTTAGAATCGTGCGCATTGGATTATGCTCTTCATCCTGATCAGTGGCACTCACCGCTTCCATTGAGCTTGCAGATTCAATATCGTTTTGTTTTCTCTGTTGGTCATTGCATTCTTCATTGATTGCAAACATCGTCATGTTTATCAGAACAACTTTTCTCCTCTTCTATGTGGTCTCACTCTCAAAACTTGTTCGTTGCATGGAAAGTGAACTTTGCTTCCCGATTAGATTGGATAACCACAACAATGACAGGGGAGATTTTGACAACGACGTGGATATCCTTAATGGGAAGTGTGTCCTAAAAATACGCGCTTTCCAGCAGGAATTGGTGATCGATTTACACCAGGACTCAAATTTCATTGCCCCTTCCATTTCTAACCAAGACGCATTCTGGCTCTCCAACACCGATGTCACCACTGACCTGAGCCGGTGTTTTTACTCCGGATATGTGAATGCTGACCGCTATTCTTATGCTGCTTTGAGCCTCTGTAAGGGTTTGCATGGTGCATTTGGCTTCCAAGGCTGGGAATATTTTATCAGCCCGGTGCAAAATGACACCAGAAGCGCAGAAAGTGCGCACATCATCCGGCGCAGAACCAGCAACAACCTGAAGCTCAATACAACCTCTAGGTGCGCAGTGGACAGCGACATCAGTCTCCAGGTTGCGCAATCGTTGGAGAAATACAAGCAACTACAAGATTACAGCAATGTGACCGAAACGATGCTGAAGAAGATGGGGAGAGCCAAAAGGTTCGCCTCGGTCCCCAGGTACGTCGAGACGCTCGTGGTGGCGGACGAGTCCATGGCGCAGTTCCATGGAGATGACCTGAAGCACTACCTCTTGACACTGATGTCAGTGGCAGCGAGGCTCTACAGACACCCCAGTATCCTCAACTCCATCAGCATCACAGTTGTGAAGATCGTTATTATATCCGAGGAGGACAAAGGACCTAAGGTGTCCGGGAACGCCGCCATGACGCTGCGAAACTTTTGCACTTGGCAAAAAAAGATGAACAAAAACAACGACAAGCATCCAGACTACTGGGACACAGCAATTCTGTTCACTAGACAGGTAAAATGCTTTATTTTGAGTTCATAGTACAGGGTCCGATCTAACAGGGGACAATGTGGTATTTAAGTGAGTGTAATTACGCACAGAAAGGCGAAAATCATTCCCAGCTAGTTTATTATGTCAACTTAATGTGCTATAATAATGACATCAGCGATAATAGTAATAATAAAACCATGGCGGCTTTTTGTAAATGAGGCATACTTCAGTTTGATAAGAGATGGACTTGGTTCACCAAACACTGTAGACTTTACATGGCAGGCTTCCCCCAAACCTCTCCTGCTGTGTCAGTTAATTGATTTGCTCTCAAAACACACCAGTCCACCAGTACCATCACAGCTTTGACTCTGAGGCTGGGCCACTAAGGAAACTACTCAAAACTACTTGAGCTGAACAGAGCAATAGTCTTGATTGCTCTTCATGGATCCTCAGAGGGAAGTTTTATAGACTTGGAACCCACCTCCGAGTTCTCTCTGCACTCCCAAATATTTGGCCGATGACACAGGGTCAGAGATGAAGTCATTGCTCACATTCATTGGTCAGCTGTAACCCACTGATCTATGATGAACTGTCTGCCTTGTGGAGTCAGGCCACTTTGATTTCATGACGACATTGAAGACTTTGGAATAAAGTTGAATCAACCCTGCTCATATTTAATCACTGAGAAAGATAATGTTTGGATATTGCTCAGTCTGCAGTCAAAGGGGCAACTGCAGATGCAGTTACAGTCTCAAAGGTAGAATAATAAGGTGATCAATTACCTTTCGCCAATGTCACTAACGTGGCATGACACATGATCGTATCAGACCTCAAACAAATGTTTATTTTACCTGTAACTTTGCCAAATGAAACGTAACGACCCTCAGTGCCCTCAGGGATGCACTACTCAGAAGTGTCTTGTTTCTTTCAGTCGTTCCCATTCTTCCTCCAGCTGTGGGTTTTCTAGCCCTACCCACCACCTTGTCTGCTCCTCATTAAACAGGCCCCTGAAGGGAGATGGAGGGAGGGCGGGAGTGATGTAGGATGGGGGAGAGAGAGAGACAGGGTGGGGGTGGAGGGGGGGCTTCCTATGTACAATGTCAGAGATGTCACATCCCTCCATGTTTCGGCCCCACCTGCGCGCCCCAAGTCTGAAACAAGCTGCTCCAGAGAGCCTGCACAGCTGCAGTCAGCCTGCACTGTTGCATCTTTACAACATGTCATTCACTTCCGCTCTCATTCGCTGTTTCTGCTGTAAGGCTCCTATGTACATACGTTATGTCCTTCCTGTTTAAGTCTTGATAATTCAAAGGTGGGCCACATTTTCCATAGAAGTATTGCAGATACAAAGTCTAGGGTTTTACCAGCACATGCAAAGTTGATTTTAGAAATGCAGTAGCCAGTTTAGACAACCCCATTTTGACTGTACTGGACCTGCCTACAGACAGTGAGCCATGTGGCTGTAATCTGCTATGTAAAGCAGAAAGATACGGGTCAAGGGATTCAGTCACTGTTTGAGGTTAACATCGTATTGGACTGATTGAGTGACCTATGCTGCTCTGATCAGAGATT